AAGAGCTGAGGAGACAAAAATTAATTCTGTTTAATGGAGAGGAGGTTGCATCTTTGATGTGCTTTCCATATCCCCTTCTGAAGGCAAATGTCATGCTCAGGGCCCCAGGCTTAGCAAAGTAACACTAGCTTTTTTTCTTAATCTTAAATGGCCATGTTTTTGGCCACTTAACCTTGTCACACTGACTCCAGCTGATTGTGCTAGCGAGGTGAGCTCCTGACTGAAAGACAGGCAATCTATAGATCAGCTGTCAGTCCAGTAGGTGGCTTGGCATGAAAAATTTGCTTGATAAGGATGATAATGCCTGGACCAATCATAGTTTTTGAGGAGGTTGTGTAGGAGAGACACAAAGCATGTGCTGGCAGTGAAAGGAGAATAAGAGATACACACGGAGGGAGGCAGACTTCAAGTTGCTGCAGCTAGGTTAACAGTAATGTTTGTAGGGATCAACGCACTTCTGCTCCTGAGGAAGGGGGCAGTGTTGGTGGCTAACTCAGTAGAGCTATATTAGTTCCTGAACAACTTTTTGTTTCCCAAACTGCATTCCAGACATGAGACCTAACTATATTGCGATTTCTGGTCATTGCCTGATAAGTGACTTGAGGTTCCAGGGTTCCTAATTTCTACAAGTGTCCATATACTATTCAAACTCCTCCCTCCACCCCATTTCAAAAATATCCAGGTATGAGGTACACATAGTAAAGTGCACAAATCAATTTCAATAGTATACAAAAACGTTATTCAAATATAGTTCTGCTCGCTTTCCTCCTCTTCTGTGCTATTATTGTCATACAAATTATATCTTTATATATTACAAGCCCATCAACATACTTTTGTGATTATTGCTTTATCTAGTTGTCTTTTATATCATACAGGAGAAGGAAAGAATTATAAACAAAAATGCATTTATACAGCTTTTTATATTTACCGATATAGCTGCCTTTATTCTGGTACTCTTTAATTCTTCCTGTGAACTCAGGGTGTGTTCTACTCCCTAATGTCTGTAGGACTAAATTGGTCTGGAAGAAAATGGAAAGGAAGAGGACAAAATAGAGGAGGCGGGAAGAGGTAGAGAACTGAAAAGGCTATGTCTCCTTCAGCTAGAACTTAACGAGATTCTGCTACGTACCAGGAACTACACTCAGCTCTGGCTATTCAGTCACACACACAGACAGTAAAGAGACACAGTCCCTGACCTACTGTTAGTGGGGAAGGAAGGAAATAAAAAGAAACTCCATAAAATTACAAGTTAAATTTAATGTTGTGTATGGTGAGGACCTACTTGAGATAGAGTGTTTATAAAGGACCTCTTTATGGATATGAGTTGAAACTGAGACCTGAAGGATGAGGAGCCAGCTTGGTGGTTGGGGTGGGGTGCGCAGAGAGGAGAAAATGGAAGAGGGATTAGGGTTGTAGGCAGCTGTCGTGAGCATTTCACATGGGGTATAGAAAAAAAGAGTTTAGGATGGACAGTAGGGAGAATGTACTGAGCTGTCTTCACCTAGGACTGGGAGTAGGGGCAGAAAGGAGGTAAGAGATACAGAACATTGGAAAGGCAAAAGCACTGGAATTAGGCACATAATTGCCCATGACGAAATCTTTTTTTCCATTTATTAACTGAAGCTATTCAAAATCTATTAATATACAGAACTTTTGTTTTTATTTGAAATTTTGGTTGTAGTGTATATTTTTAGGTGGATTTTCCCCAGTATCATTTGGGTTGCACCCTCACTGGACATTCATAGGGGTTTATGTGATTTAGTGATTGCTAGTACCGGAGTCAGTGTCGTGGGTAAGTGCAGACTGAGCCGACTGGCTGAGTGGAACCCAGGACGACATTCTGGCTCACCACTTCTTGGCTGGTGACCTTGGCTACTGGCTTAATCACTCTGTGCGTTTTCCTCTTTGAAATTGGGATTAATAATAGTGTCTACCTCATAAAGTTGCTGTGAGGATCAAGGGAGTTAACATATGAAAAGTATTTAGAACAGTAAACAACGTGGCACATAGTAAGCAAGATCAAAGTGTTAGCTATCGTTACTTACTTTCCATTGGCTACAGTACCGAGACAACGCGTTCCTTGAAGGCACTATTCATGGTTGTTAGGAATACAACACACTCTATTTTTGCTTTTAAAGGTAATATATGCACAAGGTAAAAAAAAAAAATTCCAACAGTATACCGGCACAGTCCAATACGGTAGCCACCAGCCACATATGACTATTTAAATTGATTAAAATTAATAAAAGTAAAAATTCAGTTCCTCACTGGCACTAGCTACATTTCAAGCACATAATAGCCACATGTGGCTACGAAATTGGACAGTGCCGTTTTAGAACATTTCCATCACTGCAAAATGTTCTATTAGACAGAGCTGGCCGGTAGTGACTCTCCCTCCCATCCCGCCCCCAATCCCTCTCCCAGGGGTAATCACTGTCACAGGTTTCTTGCATAGCTTTTCATGGTTCAGACACACATTTTTTTGTACACAAATGTTACTGTATCATTTGCACGGTCCTGTACTTTATTTCTTTATTTTTATTTATTTTAAAACACACTAATGGACAGATCCGACCCGCCTACGGAGACCGCGCCGCGGGAAAACCCAGCGCAGATGCTCAGGGGTCCCCTAGTCTGGACTTATCAATGCCTTGAGGCCCGGCCCGAGCGACCCCAAGAGCGACAGGGTGCGTCGGTCCCCGCTCAGGCCGCGGAGAGGTGCCGCCGTCCCGTCCGCGACGAGCGCGCGCCCACCACGGGGGGAAGCCCCTGTCGTCTGTCCCCCCCGAGGACCCCGCCTCCCCGCCCGCCGCCGACGCCCCCAGCAGGGCCACTGCCGTCGTCCGTCCGAGGAGCCCCCCCCGACAGTTGCGCCCCCTGCCGTCGTCCGTCCGAGGAGCCCCCCCCCGACAGTTGCGCCCCCTGCCGTCGGCCGTCCGAGGAGACCCTCCCCCCCCCACAGTTGCGCCCCCTGCCGTCGTCTGTCCGAGCAGCCCCTCACCCCAGCAGCGCCCCCTGCCGTCGTCCGCCGGGAGCAGCAGGCGGGCAGCGCGGCGCCGGCGCGCGCAGGAGGCCGGGAAGATGGCGGAGCGGCCCGCGGCCTCCTCCTCAGCGCCCGGCAGGGCCGGAG